TATATTAATATTATTTATTATATAAAAATAAAATTTAACATAATATAAATATATAATCGATAAACAGATTCTGTTTCACCCAATCAAATAACATATGTTTAATAAATTTTTTTCTTCAATATTTCTTAATTTTGCAAACCCTCAAAAAATTCATTTTTCCTTCCAATTATCATAACATATATTATTATTAAAATTAAAGGTTTTCAAATAACTAGACTTGAGTTATCTTCAATAACTTATTTATTATTCTATTTATCGCTCTCACAATAAATATATAATTATTTTAATATAAAGTTTAATTCTTGAGCAAATTTTTTTTTAAATTATTTCATTATAAATTTTTATGAGTTAAAATAAATCCCTTTAAGATTTTGAGAGGGATCATGGAAAAATTAATGATCTAAAGTCTATAAGAAACTCTAAATGTTTATTCTTTGATAAAAATAGTAGTTAAATAATTTACAAATGGGAAATGAATCAATCTGAACCTCTTTAATGGTAAGCAGAAATTGAAAAAGAAATTGTACTTCAAAATGAATTAGCCTCAAAGTTCAAATAATATCTCAAAATTATTGACCATGCTTATTAAGTAACTTAATAGAATAAAATTATCTATATGACAATATAAACTAAAGATGGATATACTAGTGATATAGTTTCCTTTTAAGAAATCAATGACAATATAGATAAATTCATTAAATTCAAAAATATTTTCTAACATATGAGTGATATGGAGAAAAATGATCCAAAAATATTTTACCTTAAATATAAAAATATATTCTATTAAGCAAATTAACTTTATTTAACGATTTTTGGATGTATTTAAAACTATAAACTCCCAATTGATAGGAATTTAAATCTGAAGAAACTTGAAGAAGCAACAAATAAAATTTGTCCTACTAATTACAAAGATGAAAAGAATGGGAATAAATAACACAATATTTAAAAGTATAGGGAGGATATTGTTATCTTATTTTAGTTTAGTATTTTGAAAATTGAAAATAAGGAAATCTCTATACATGAAATTAATAATAAGTGTAAGGAAGATAAAGAATTAAAAAATATAGCTCAAATACTAAAGGACTATATTTTTAAAGATATTTCAATTGAATAAGTCGATCTAAGTCTTAAATAGAGTGATGATAGTGAACAAATTTATTAAGAATTAATAGAAATATGGAAAAAATTGAAAATATAATTAGAATCAAAATTAGAATAGCAAAATCTAGAACTTTTTAAAAAAGGACTTGATTTTAAACTTCTCAAAGAATTATAAAATAAATAATTACAAATATATATATCAATCTAAAAAGAAATTTATGAAAATGGTAATCGTAATGATAATGGTGATGATAATGGTAATGGTGAAGATAAAGATAAAAATAAAAATAAATATAATGGTAATGTATAGGAAAAAGCAAAATACTTAATTTTATAAGCTGAGCATAGATAATAAGCTATTAATTTAATGTAAAACTAAAATAAAGATCCTCACCCAAATTTAATTTATTTTCTTAATGAAAAAGAATTAAATTAGTTAAAAGATAATCAAAATTTATTAAAGCTATTTATTTAAGAAGATAAAAATATTTCTGCTAATATTAATAAATATCTTGAATTGTTGTAGAAAATCTCCTCTTTTGCTTTGGATTAATCAGTTTTTAATAATGAACAATTAAAATTAATACCTGCTGAAAATTTAAAAACCAGTAAAAATATTAAAATTAAAGAATTCTGGAAAATTAAAGATTTAGAAAAGCAGATGAAAACTCATGGAGTAGAGCGTTTTGAATTTGAAAAACCTTTGGATGCTAGATATTTTTATGAAAAGTTTTTACTTGCAATAAACAATAATAACCCTAATGAAAATCCACTTGATTATAAATTAAAATCTGAATAATTTACATTATTAGATGAAAAAAGAAAAAAAAAATATCAAGAAAGTATTTTGAATAAAATTGACCGTCTAAAAACTTCTTAAAATTTTAAAGATTAAATCTAGTTTAAAGAGTATATGGATGCTTTTAATGAAAGTTTTAAATCATTAAATTTTGAAAAATAGAAATCAAGGAATTTTTTATCATAATTATATGATTAAGAAAATGAGGGATTAGTTCCAAAATTTAAATTTGATTTTAGAACAAATCCATTAAATTTCACTAAAAAATTGTATGATTTTTAAATGCGTTAATTTTCAAGAGACCCATTAATTGATCCAGATTTAAAATCATATCTAAGAAATTTTAATTTAGATGATAAAGATAAAATTTATATAGGCTATAAATTTAATGGTTAGTAACATGGATTAGGATTAAGTAGAATAAATTAAAATCATTTAAAATTTGGAATATTCTCATAAAACTAAATAAAATGGGGCTGGGAAATTATCTTAAAGAACAATAATTTTATCAGTTTCTATAAAGGATATTTTTTAAATAATCAAAAAGATGGAATAGGAATATAAAGACAATATAATTATTAAGGAACCGATCCAATCGAAATTGATGAATATGTAGGTAAATTTTCAAAAGATAAGAGGGATGGAGAGGGTACATATAAAAATTTTGAATCGAAAATCGTAAAAAAAGGAGATTTTAAAGATGATAAATTGAATGGTTTAGTCAATATATACTAAAATTATGATGATAATATTTTCATAGGATATTTTAAAAATGACAAAAAACATGGATTTGGAAAAGTAATCAATTCGTAAGATAATTATGAGATTTTAGGGGAATATTATGAGGATTAATAAACTGGCGAACATAAAAAATAATATCAAGATGGTAGAACTGAAACAATAACTTATCCATCAAAGTTATGCTCTATCTTTTGAATGGTTACTTATATATTTAAAAATATAAATATTTTAATTTAATATTTGTTTAGAGGTTTTTAATTTAGAATAATAATAAATATTGATTAAAATAAGTTCTTGTATATGTGAAATAAAATATATTAATTAATATATCAAAAAAAGATAACCGATGAATGTTTAGTAAGTAGTTGTTTAATATATTTAGTGATTGCATAGCTTTTACTGGAGACAAATGGGAGTTACTAGAATAAGACACAATTGGCTTTATGGCAGGAAGTAATTAAATAAATGAAATTATTTAGATACTTTATGTAAGTGGAATCTAGAAAATAATAGCAAGAGTTTTGTACATTCTTAGAGATAAGGGTTCTAGTGTTTTACAGTTAATTATAGGAAAAACATATTAGTGGTTGCAGAATATGGGCTTAATCCAATAGTTCATGTTTATGATAATGAAAATGAATATGATTTAGTAGGAGTGAGTCCATTAGAAATACTTTAAATGGAAGTGTCTAATTGTGGACGTTATTTGTTGGTGATTTTGGGAGTGCCAAAATTTGAAATTTGTTTATGGGATTTAAGAGAGAAATGTAGAATAAAAGGAAAGTTTAGTTAATTACCATTAAAATTGAATTTTATAGAAGCTAAATTCACAATCTTAGGTGAAAGAATTCTAATTCGATATGTAAACTAATTGTAATTATATTAAATTACACCTCATTATGATAATTAAATTCAAAAGTAGTTTTAATTGGAATTGGTAGCATCAATTGAATTATCAGCTCCAACAATTATGGTTTAGGATTATAATCTAATAGATGATTCAAAAAGTCAATTTGAATAAAATAACATATATTTAATATAAGGAAATGTATTAATTTATTTAGATGGAACAAATTTAACTGAAATTGTAAGACATGAATGTCATTCAGAAATTAAACATTTAATTCCAACCTAAGTTCATTTAATTGTTGTATATGCTCTTGCTAAAATTGAATGGTTGTACAAATATGTAACCAATAATTTGCATGATAAAGTGGCTGTACCTTTTAAAGTGAATAAGAAATATAATTTTCATGATAAAATAGAAGTCAAAAAAATAATGTACAATCAATAATGCACTAAATTGATATGTTCTTAAGATAATGCCACTCTCTTTATAATCCCTGTACCTGCAGAAGGCTATTTGGCAGAAGATGAAGGCTAAGTTGATTAACAAGAAGAAGATAAAATAATAGACTTGACTCATGAAATTGAACCAATTAAGTTAGGTCCCTTTTAAAAAGGAGTCATAACATTTATCAGAGAATATAAATAAAATAATGTAATTGTATGTGGATCAGATTAAGGAGTAGTCTTATTTATGGATGTGATAACAAGTAATTAAGTATTTTATATATTTAGAATAACCTTTAAGTAGTTTTAATATTGAAGGTAAAATCTATTCAGGAGAATTAATAGAACCTAATTTAATAATAGGTACATCAGCAGGAGTATTAAGATTTTATAATGTTGCTGACATACGTTAGCCAGTACTTTTTAAGATGATAAAACTCTATATTGATAAACCAATTACAAGTATAAGTATTAATGATAACAATTTGGCTGTTTGTAGTAGTGATTCTCCAACAATATTTTTTTTTTTAAATGAAAATTTGATTGGTTTTGTAGATCTTCCATTTAATTGTTAAGCAATAACATATGGAAAAGGTTAATTATTTTGTATATGCTCATTTTTATTATTGAGTATACCTTAACCAAAATAATCATAATCTTTGAAATTGGAAGTCTAAATTATGGGAAGAAAAATTGATCCAGATTAAACTTTATTAATAGTAACACCTTAATAAGAAGTAATAACAACAGGAAAGGATAAAATATTTAAAAAATATAAATTTCCTGAAGAATTATTATCAAAAATGGATTTAAAAATGAGAGTTGCAAATTAACCTCCAGTTGATGAATAAGATGGTCATCAATTACCAGCAACATGTTTAGCAATAAAAGACTTTTTATATTCTTCTGCTAAAGATGGAACAATAATGTTTAGAAGTTATCAACAATTAAATTAAGATGTTAGATTATTAAGAGGACATAATTTGAAATCTGGTGGTGTTTCAACAATATTTGTATCATAAAAATATAAAATGATATATTCTGGTGGTTTTGAAGGAGATTTATTTTGGTGGACAGGAGAGAAAATAAAAGGAGATTCTGATGCAGCATAATTAATGAAGAGTAATTATAATGCTCCTATGGAAATTTAGGATATGTCTGATTAAGAAGTTAGATATTATTAATAAGTTTTGGAGAGTGAATTTCTTGAATAATAAGCACCTATTAGAGAACAACAAAAAAGATAAACAAAAGATTTACTTAAATAAATTTAATCTAAATTAAATGCACTTTTATAAGAAAATGCTGAAGCTGATGAATTAGAAAGATTATCAAGAGATGAATTTGTTATTGATCTATATGCTAGAGATGCTATACTGGAAGATGGAAAGAAATAATAATAAGCATTAAGAGATTTGGTTAAAAAAGAAAATGTTAAATAAGAGATTCTTTATTAATTAATTAAAGAGAGAACTTGGGATTAAATAGAAATTCCATTAAAAGGAGTTAATGGATTGATTTAACATATTATTGTTACTAATTATCATATTAGAATTAGACAATCAGAAGAAATGAGAAAATTAAAATTAATTAAAGAATTAAGAAAATAAGAAATTAGAGAATTAAAAATTAGAAAATAATAAGCAATTAAAGAAGTTTGGAGTATTGAAGAACATATATAAGATCCTAAATATATTATTAATTCTAAACCTGGTATTTAAACTATGGTTTTAAATGATTATGAAAAAAAAGAAGAAGTTGCTCCTACTAAAGTTGCTGCTAAACCTGGTGTTGGAGGTGTTTAATAAAAATTACCAGCTGGAAGAGCATAGGCAGGTGCTGCTAGTATCAAAGCAAGATAATAATAATAATAATAACAATAATAATAAGAGGAAGAGAAGAGATAGGAAGAAGAAAAATAGAAAGAATTGGAGAAATAATAATAATAATAAAAGGTTACTGAAGAGAAGAAGGAGGGAAGTGAAGAATTAACAGAATGGGATTATTTATATGGAGTAAGTGAATTATTTACTCTTAATAGAAAAAGAAATTAAATGATATTAATTAATGATGTGATATTTTTAATGAAAAGATAATTTAATGCTGAATTTGAATTGATTTAGAAATAGAGATAATAATAATTAGATAATATTAATGAAAGAAATAAAAGAATTATTGAAATTAATAGTGAATTAAAGAGAGATCCTTAATTATAATAAATGAAAAAGAATATTTTAGAAGATCCAGAAAAAATATTGACTGTTAAACCAGAAGAAATAGGATTTTCATAATATGAAACAAGAGAAATGAGAGAAAAGAAGGAATAAGAAAGATTAAAAGAAGAAGCACGTATGAAAGCATTAATGGCAGATGATTCAGGTATTAGAGCAGTTAAAGATATGATGGGAGGTACTTTGGAAGAAAAGAAAGAAACTCCATTAGATGAAAAATTAGAAGTAGAAGAATGGATGAAAAAAAGTCCAGATGATATGACAGAGGAGGAAAGAATGAAATTAAAAGAATTTGAAGTTAGAAAATAAAAATTAGAAGAAGAAAAAGAAAAAATACGTAAAAATTTAGAAGCAGAACTTAAAAAATTAAATAATGAAATTACTGATATTTGTTAAAGATTTGATGATAAATTGTTAATTTTATTTAGAAGAAAATTAGAATATGATTATAGAATACTTGAATAAGAATTATCAATAGTTAGATTGGCATTATCAATTATTATATCATAATAAGCATAATTAAGAGTTTCAGAATTAGAGAAATTACATGATGAGATGACAACATAATTAAATCAATTATAATAAATGAAAACTAATTTAGATTAAACTAGAGATTTAACTTAATAACAAAGAAAAACTTTAAATGATTAAATTGTCAATTACTTTAATAGAGGTTAGACTGCAGGTATGGATGCTAACAAAGTTAAAATCCTTTGGTAATATGCTTTTGAAGATTAAAAGACTAATGAAAGAGCTAAATAAGAATCTGATGAAAAATTACTCAAAATTCAAAAATATAAAGATGTACTTATATAAATTGATCCATTATTTGAAAATTAAAAGAAAATTATTTCTGCATAATTAGATGAATAATTTGAAACTTATTTATTTGATATCTAAGAAAAAGCAAGTAATCTATAAGGAATAGATTTTGAACATGTTCGTGATTAATTATTGTAAGTATTAGGTTAAAGATTTAAAATGAAATTAGAATATGAAAAAGTTGAAAAAGATTTCAATGATCTTGAAAATTTTAATAAAAAATTTGAATAAGATTTTAATTAATTATCTTCTTAACTTACTAATAGTGAAGAAGACATTTAAAGTCTACATAACATGTTAGAAAAAAGTAGATCTAATATTGAAGTAATGTTCAGATTCAAATAAGGATATGTTGAAATCAGTTAAGATAAACCAGTACCTAACTTACAAGATGCTGCACTTATTCCAAGAGAAACAATTGAAAAAAAAAATGATGAAATCAAAAAGGAAGGAGATACTAAAATTGAATTAATGAAAGATATTATTAAAAGTAAATATCAAGTTGAAAAAAATGAATATGATTTAAAAAAGAGAGATCTTATTATTTAAGATTTAGAATGTAAAACTAGAGAAGTCTAATTATTGAAAGTTAAAAAAGAAATGTAAATTGCTTTAACAAAAGATGATACTAGATTAAATGAGAGAGAATTAGCTAATTTAAAAGATTAAATAGATCTTTTAAAAAGTGCAACAGATAAGAGATTATAAATTATAAACAAAAAGAGAGAAAAAATTGAAAAAGATATTGATTTTATTAAAAAAGAGAATTAATAATTGATTGCTTAAGGAGGAGTTTTATCTGTATTATATTTATATTATTTTAGGGAAATGTTAAATAATTATAAGATATATCAGATATGTAGAATAAAAAGAATGTTAGATAAGGAGAAGAATAATAAGAACCATAAGAAGATAAATTTACGTAATTATATATTCTATATATTTCAGTTAAATTGCTCGTAATTATAGACTATTTAAAAAGGCCAAAGAGTAGGCTGAAGAAATTGAGATATTAAGAGATGAACTTACTAAACTTAAAGCTAAGACATTTGCTAATTTCTAATAAGTCCATCGTTGATAAATCAAATTTATAAACAATTTATAACAATTAATTCACTTTTTATATATTATTTCATCAAATTATTAGTTTTAGATGATCATTAACACAAAATATTAAATAATTAATTAAAAATATATTATCTAACTTGATAATAGATCAAAAGAGAATATATTAATTCTTTGTTTGGTGAAAAAACTATATATGATATATTTTGAGCTATTCAAATTATTGGTTTTTTATATACAATTCAATTTTTGTTTAAATATTTATTGTTGTTTACCATTAATAAGTATTTAAACTGAAAGAATTAATCTTCTCAAATTTTTAATTCTTTTTATGTTACCCAAAATACATAAAGCTTACATTTCTAATTTACAGAAAATTTAATTTCTATATTTTTATAACACAAATTTATTGCAGTTTTTATTTATTGTTTAGCCTTAATAATTAAATACATGATCTAAATTTTTCTTAGGTATTTTAAGAACTTAAGAATGAAATACCAAGTGTTGATAATAATTTTACCAATACTCATTTTAACAATGTTATTGGTTGGATTAACTAACTATTTGTAATCTACTGTAATTTTTAATTTACTTGGAAACTAATCAAACCAATTATTGATGAATTAAGAATATAAAGCACTTTCCCAAATATCTATAGAATTACAAACTTATATTAAAAATAAACACAAATTTTGTAAATTGATTCTATTAAGCATTTTAGATATATCCAGATTGAAGCACTTAAATTCAATATTCAATTTTATTTAGTTAAATTTGGGAAGTTTTTAATACATGAATAATTTAAAAAATTGTATAAAACTAGAAGACATAGCAAATAATTTTATAGAGTATGATGCACCATAATTTTGTTATGTTGCCTGTGGATCAGAAGATAAAATAACATTACCTTAATAAAATCAAATGATAAATATCTTTAATCAAACAACCTAAATAATAAATTAATTTACTATAGCTTTGGATGCCACTGAAAATTCATTAATTTCTATAGTGGATTTTACAGATACAGTTTATTTTGCTGCCTATCCTCATATGTTTTTATCACTTAATTATAATCCTCTTACAAGACCTTGGTAATTGTTTATTATTAAATAAGGTATATTAATCATATGGATGGATTAAAGACTTAACCTGAATAACATTATTATTTCTCCCCTATATTTAAGAATTATGCCAAAAATATATATTAAATGTCAATCACTCATTCAATTTCTGGGAATTCTTCTTCAAATATTGGTATTCTAACTTAAAATGTTGAATTAAATGATACAAATATTAGAGACACTCCTTATAATATTATAGTATCTAATGAGAATGGTGAGGTAGTCCTTTAAGGTATAGAATCTATATAAAATTTGGTATATTGATAGCATTTAAATTTTAGATCTATATTAAAGATTATATTTTATTTATTAATGATACAAATTAAACTGGTTTCAATGATACTGATTGGTAATAAATGAAAAGAGTCGCTTAAGGAGAGGCAATTCAAAATTAATGTAATGAATTCAATACTAATGCATTCTGTTTATACAATAAATACTTTAAAAGATTTGTAATAGTCAATGCAACTATAATTAAGGAAGGAAGTTTCTATTTAATAATGTAAATGTTACAATTTTTAATTTATTAGATATTCCAATATAACTTCCCAAATCATTTTAAATTAATAGTTAGCTACTATAAATCTTAATTTATAAGTGTAGTTATAATTTAGTTTATATGTACTTTTATTTTCAGGTATAATATTATTGTTATTGGCTATTTTAATCATTCATTAAATGTTTCTACCTTTAAAAGATTTTATGAGAACTCTATTTTTTTATATTAAATCAAGAGGAAATAATATTAATAGAGAAATTTTTTAATTGTTAAATACATAAAAGAGGAAAAGAAAAAATAATACATTTTCAGACTTAATGAGACAATTTTTAAAATTTGAAGCCAAACTAAATCTTAGTCAATAAAATAAAAATAAAGAATGTCGATATTTTGAATAAATCTAATATTAAATTTAATCTAAAAGTGAACTTATAAATCCTTTAGATCTTAATTTAAATAATATCTCAAATGATTGCTAGATTAAAAATATATTTGATTTATAAAAACTTAAAATATTTAATTTCTGATTTTTACATTATTCTAAAATTAACAAAATCATTATAAAATATTATGTTTAAGAGATAATGGAAAAAATTGAGAATTAGAACTTAAATATCAATATTTTTATTTGTAGCCTAAATTTTGATTCTTTCATTAATTATAGGACTCTTATTGGTAAATTTGAATTTTTTGGAATTTTATTATGAAAAAGCTTCAATATCAATATTGGTTTAATAAGAATTAAACCTTTAAACTAACTTAATGAATTATTCAATAACAGATACTAAATTATTATTATACAGAAGTTTAAACTAAATTTATAGAGTTAAATATCTCTTTCAAAAAATTGAAATGGAATAAATTAAGTTTCTATTTCCAACATTTAACTGTTTATAGAATTTTACAAATCTAGATAATTATGCATTTTAATATTCGTTTTGTTATGGAGAATTTGGATAAGCTAACACTGAACCAAATTAAATTGAATTTTATAAGAATTTAACTAGTAGTTTGACAATATTATTGCACTTATTGGATTAAGACTTAGATTTGTCTATTTGTACTACAACATAAGAATAATATTTTGCAGTTTGGCCAGGTGATAAATATATAGATTATAAACCATAAACTAGACCTTGGTATTTATCACATATAAGATAAATGTAAAATAATCCAAATCAAGATCTATTTTTTAGTGATCCATTTGTATTTTGGACTTGGAATGTTGTAATGATTAGTTAAACACTTACAATTTAATCTTAAAATGGTGGATATTAAGGGATTGCAGCAACAGATTTGAATTTAACTCTTTTTTAAAATTTAAATAGTCACTTTAAAAGATCAAATAGACTTTTTACTTTAAGAGATGGTAAGATTTTAATATCAAATACAAATTTTACTTTTGGTAATTATATTTATAATGAATCAACTATTGGTTTAAATTATGAAGATTTCATTCAAATTTAACATTATCTAAATAATGGAAATTACACCAGTAATTGTCTCAAACTTCATAAATATCTAGGATATGATATTTTTTGTAGGTACAATTAGGTTTTTTAGTAGGATTAAGCAATATTTGCTAGAAATTTAGGGATATCAAATTTAGATTTAATAATGTATATTTAATTATTGATTTAGTATATTTGATACTCTTTAAAATTAAGAATAAATTTTGAAAAGCTTAGAAGAAATTAAAGAAAGGTTTTTAGAATTTTCAGCATATTCATTTTTCTTTATCATAATAATAATACTCTTATCTTTTTTAATAAATTTGATAGTTATAAAATACATTACTAGACCATTATAAAATGTAGTGATATAAGTATAGCAATATATAAGATCAAGTGGATTTATTTATGATAGAGGAAATACAAGGAAAATAATTAAAGAGAATAACCAAGATGACATGAGTAGAACATTAAATAAAGTCTTTAATAATTTCCAAATTAAAAATAATGAGTGTTAAAGATAATAATTAATAATTTCATAATATCCAATCAACTGTTATAACTTCAAGAATTTTTATAAGATATCAGATTTAAAAGTATATATATTTATCTATTTACATAATTTAGCTTATCCAAAATTCTTATTTTAAGTAATAAGAAATAATTGAGATGGTTTTAAGATTATTATAATAGCAATCATAAATTTATTGATTATAATATATTTATATTAGTTATTAATATAATATGTATTAATTATTACAGGAATGTAAGATTCAAGTCAAATTTCCAAGTATAAATAAGGAGTTATCTATAATTATTAAATCAGATTTAACAGGACTTTAAATGAAAGAAGAATTTTGTCAATTATATGATACTTAGAAATATGATATTGACTTATATTTTAATGATGTAGTGTTGAATGAAAATTAATCGCTAATTTAATAAGGAGTAGGAGAGAATGGAATTATTATAATAAAGTATGCAATTCCTATAACAATATTGTTATCTTCTGCCAATAAAAAATATTGTTTGAGATTGACACCCGAAACAACAACAATGGATTTATAATAACATTTAATGGATACTTATAGCTATCAAAATGTTATTGTTACATTTTATAAAGACGAAGAAATATTATTACCTGGATTGAGTTTATATGATTAGGGTATCAATAAATCCAATATCATAAAAGCAAATGTGAAACAAATAGGAGGATGATATAATTCCTATAATTTTATTATATACATTTCTTGAATTAATTATTTAAACATATTCTAATTGATGATCAAAATATATATTATATATTATTCTATTAAAGAATAAATATGTTTTATGAATTATTAAAATAATATATAAGTGTAAAATTGATTGATTATCAATTATTTTATATTATTATTAACTAATTAGTCAAAATATTTAGGGAGTATAGTAGAAAATAAGAATAATTCTTTGATTATATAAAATTATAATCTGATTATAATTATCATATGATATAATATTTGAATAAGAATAATATTAATAGATAAAGCATACAATATATGATCATTTTTTGTTATTATATTAAATAAATAAATATTAATCTGCAAATAGATTGGTAAGAATGCAATCAATTAATTGTCTGATACATTATGTATAAGTAAATAAAAAGTTTAATGTGATTTTGGATTAAAATGTAACTCCATTAGATCTAACAAAGGAGTTTTAATCTTAAATAGTGTTAAATGACAATAAGATAAGTTTCTATTTAAATTAAAATTTGCTGAATCCCAATATTCCATTTTTGGCTTAATAGGTTTAGAATGGGAACATTATCGAAATGAATGTAGAAGCAGAAGGAGGATGAAATTTATATGATATTTGTATAAATAATATAAATTTAAATATGTTTAAGTGTTTATCTAGAAATATTGAGATTGTTAATAGGCCTTAAATATATAGATTAAATAAGGGAAAATATAAAGAAGAAGAATTAATAGATGTAGGTGGGTATTCTCAAATATGGAAATGTGAAGGGTTTGCCATAAAAAGGATGTTAATTAATTCTTAAGAAACTTATACGATAGCAAAATAGGAAATAAATATAATGGTATTGATATAAGAATGAATAAAAAGAAAAGATTACCTGAACATCCAAATATTATAAAATTGATTGATTATGGGGAAGTGAAGATTCAAAATAAATTATTTTTTTGTATAGTAATGGAACTATGTGAAATGAATTTATAAGCAATGCTTAGTTAAGAGATGTTAACTGAGAGAAGAATAATAGAAATATTTAAATAAATATTAGATGGATTAGAAGTATTACATGCAGAATAGATTAGTCATAGAGATTTAAAATTAGAAAATATTATGATCAAACGAGGTACTTGTAAGATTTGCGATTTTGGATCAGCATCAAATAATATTATTGATCTTAATTTATTGAGTTAAATTGAATTGAATTAAATAGAAGAACAATTTTGTAAAATAACTACAATTACTTACAGACCTCCTGAAATGATTGATGTTTATAAATAGTAGATTATAGATGCTAAAGTTGATATTTGGTAATTAGGATGCATCTTATATAATTTATGTTTTAGAAAGTCTCCATTTTAAGATATTAATAAACTTTCTATTGCATAAGCTGAATTTGAAATACCATAATCATAATTATCTAAAAAGACTTTGTTATTAATTTAGAAAATGTTATAATAAGATCCTAAAAAGAGACCTAATCTAAAAGAATTAAAATTATTCCTTTATAGTAGATAAATAGATGATTACGATAGTTTTTAATGAAATAATTAATATTAATTCTCAATATAAATTAATGAGTGGTCTTTACAATTAGTTTGATCTCAATAAATTCTTACCAAGTGCGTATGTTGTAGAAGCCTTACCATTGTGTTCCATAGAAGAAAATTAAGTTAGATCTGAAAGAGTGGGAGACTAAGATGTTCGAATTTATAGTGTGTATAATCAGAACAAAGATAGAATCACATAATAAACAAATTTGGTTGATAAAATAGCCAGATTTGTTAAAGATGATGAAGAAAAAGAAGAAGAATAAGAAGAAGATCCAGATTAATCAGCTGAAGTCTAGACCAGATACTTTAATCTTGATAGTATTGATGTACTCTCTAAAGGAGTATGTAGAAGATGCAAAAAAGTAATTGCTAGTGATAACCAAAGCCTGGCCATTTTGAAAAATGGTGTGTTGAAGACATTGCTGAAACTAAAGTGACTTGTCGATTTTGTTTGGGAGATCATTATTTTTTAAAATGTCCTAATAGTTTATGTTTCAAGTGTAACCAAGCAGGACATATGGCAAAAGATTGTGATGTTGAAGGATTCAAATGTCATAGATGTAATAAAAAGGGACATAAATCTAAAGATTGTAATGTTATCATTATAGATGATGAAAATGTATTTGAAAAGGATAAATAAAGATTAAAAGATCTTTTGTGTTTAAATTGTTAAGAGAAAGGACATTTGAATTGTTTTTCAAAAGGATATAAAAAATATGATTTACTTTATTGTGAAGGAAAAGAGTATAGAGAAAGAGAAAAAATGAATAGAATTGATTATTCTTCAAAAGATAAACATAATCATCATTCAAAAAATTAATAATAACATAATCATTAACATGATCATAATTATAATCATTAATAATAATATAATCATCATAATTAACATGATCATCATCATCATTAACATTCACATAAATAAAAATATTTAAAAGAATAAACATAAAATCTACCACATAAAGTCAATAAAATAATTTAAAAATAAAAATATCATTAATAAGATTCTTCATCATAATATTCAATGTGGTCAGAAGAATCTCCAAATACAAAAAGGATGAATAATAATAAATAAAGAAAAAATAAACTAAAATAGAAAAAGTATTTCAAATAATTTAATTGATTATATTATTATGTTAAATAATCCTTAAGAATATGCCGCACAAAAAAAAGATGCCTTTCGTTCTGAAATCCGTAGAATAGATAGAGAACGAATATTTAATTAAAAAAGGATTTTAATTCGTTAACAAAATGAAATGAGAGAAAAAGACGATTTAGAATTAACCAATTTAATACCATTAATTTAATAATCTTAATAGAATCAAAATATTTAAGAATTAAAACGACTTCATCAATTTGCATTCAATTCTATTTCAACCAACAATATTAACTAAATTACATAGAATCAAGAATTTTTAATTAAAAATAATTACTTATAACATAGCCTTCCAAGTTTAATAATTAAAGAAGTCTAATGTGATGTCATTAGAACATTAGCTAATTCTTGTAATCATCCTATGTTTTTATAATAATAACCTTAAAATCTTATCCAATCTTTAGAAATTTCATATTAATTACTCTTATCATTAACAGATAACTAAGACATTAGTGATGTATTGATTATAATAATAAATTTTTAGATTCTAATATACTTAGGAAATATAGCTAATAAATGGGCTGAAATCTGCTAATATTTAGTCAAGAGTTTTGATCGTTTATTAGAGTTAAGTTCTTTAACTGACTGTAATCTATATAGAAATATTTGTTTCTGTATGCATAATATATGTTATGTTATGGATAATCATAATTTAAGTATTAAAGATGTAATAAATATTATTATATTTAAATTAGAGAATTACATGTTTAAAAATTTTAGATAAAGGAGTTAACAGGAATGATAGTGATTTCTTACAAAATGAAATATTACATCCTTTAACAGTATTATATTAACAAAATGAAGAAATTGATAAGTATTTGATGAGTTCAAAAATAATATAATATGTTATTTCTACTTTAAAAGGAGAATATGTAGAAACAACTTTATAAGTATTAAAATAGTTTTCATTAACAGAAACAATAAGTTTTTCAAATGTATATTTTATAAAATAGAATAATAGTTTTTAATTGAATAAAATATTTTGGATATAGCTTTAGAATATAGTAATAATCGAAAAAAGTAAATTAGAAAATTCTCTTTTTTAATTGTTATTAATTTAGCATATAATGATTGTAAAATTTCCAATAAAATTGTTAAACATAAAATTATTAATAGAATTATTAATGGTTTAATTGCATCAGTTTTACAAGAAAAGTAAAATTGTATCTAAGTCATATAAAATTTATAAAAGACAGGAGACAATACAGTGTTTTAAACATTGATAGATTTAGGAACTATTGAAATTATAGGAAATTTTATTGAAGAAGTAGATACAGTAGTTTTAAAAATCTTTGTAGATACTCTTTGTAGATTTTTAAACTATGCAAAAGAAGTTTAATCAATTAAAGTAATTGAAGATATCAAAAAGATAAAACCTAAATTAGAATTAATTTATAACGACAATAAAGATCCAAAATTTTAAGATCTATTTTAATTGTTTTTATAGCTCTTATAATAATGATAATTATATTTTATAAATAATATCAAAAATCACAAATTTTCAATCCTTTCATAAGAAAATACAAGTTAGTTTGTTCAATACGCCCGGATAGCTCAGCTTGGTAGAGCGAGAGACTCTTAATCTCTAGGTCCAGGGATCGAGACCCTGTTCGGGCGTAAATTTTTTTAATTTTTTTATAATTTAATTAATTAATTTTTACTTATATATATATATATTTAATCATAAGATAGTTAATATAGGAAGATTATAAAATAGTAATTCTTGAATAAATTATTATTTTTTTTATAATAAAATATTGGAGTATAATTGTCCATTTATATTTAATTTAAATAATAAATATTATACTCCAATTTAATTAGAGAGAGAAAAATTTTAATTTAATTGATTTTATAATATATGAATATGATGAAATCATTTACTTTGTCTATTCATATAGGATTATTAATATGCTTCTGAATTACCTAATGTTGATTGTTCAAATTATGCAGATTATTAAAGAACTGGTAAATCCATAGCAGATTAAACATATTTTTTAGGTTCTTAATGGAACAATGAAAAACATTCAGATGCACACAGAGTTATAAGTTTTCCTGATATTTCAGAACATGATTCACATTCTACCATTTCTGTAGGAACTTTCTTACAAACTAGACAAACAAGTTTATTTTATAATTTTGCAGGAGGATTGCATTTTCTAGGAACATGGAAATTAATCTTAGGTAATAGTTCCATATCTTGAGGATTAAAACTTCCCATAATATCAGTCACAATTCCAATAGTTGAATATCTTGGTTATGCAGTTTATAGATTATGATGTGTTTCTGAAACATTTGGAATATTCTTCATTTTTGTTCTTAATAATTGTTTAGCTAAAGTAAGTCGAAATTCTAAGAAGTTGATTTAAGAATTTACTTTTTAAATACTTTTAAAAGCAATAAAACTGTTCCATATGACAATTTCTTACATTTCTGTATAGATGGCTCCATTTACAGTAGCAGAAGAGAACAAACATTTATAGGCATCTGATAAAGCAGGATATTATTCTACTAATTTAATATATTCTTAATAAATGACAACTGCATAACTCTTTTTATCTTGACTTGTATTTCTATGAAATCCATCAGCAGTTGAAGCAAATACTTTGAAATCTGCTTAATTTGGTGTTAATAGTTTAAGTAACATTACATGATTATTTGTTACTAATCCATCTTTGAAATCTATCTTTTATGTTTATGTAGTTGATGCTAGTATACCACATGAATATATAGCAAAGAATTCTACTAATATTTAAACTTATTCTAAAGTTAATAATTCTTATTGGAAATATAATTTGTGATTCTTATGTTTATATGGATCCAACATATTAAATATAGTATTACTGATATTTTCTCTAAAACAAAATCTAATAGCTATTATATATTGTGTTTGTACATCCATAAGTAATATACATTCAATTGATCTCCCTTATAAATCTTATGCTTCAAATAAATTGTTTTTAATTACTGCCAAACATTGTCCTGCATCATGAGATATCCTAAATTTTTTATTTAATTTCTTTGTTAAATAACTATATACTTCACCTTCAACTTTAAATTTCTTTTCAACATCTTCTTATTTTAAATTATGATATTTTGCTTGAATCATTACTTCATCTCTTAAATTAGTATTTTATTCCAAGAATTTAAATCTACCTACTTTTATTAATTCTCCAATCTTATTACGAAAAGGTAATTTATCATTAAAATAATCTTCTGGATCAGGCATTCTATTGTATCCCATCAATATTTTCACTCCAAAATATTCATAAATTTAATCCAATTTAAATAGTCTTTTTTTAACATCTTTTTCATGTTATTCAGAAAAATGATCTTTCATTTAATCATTAATCATTTTCAAAATACTCTATACTATTTATCTATGAAATAAAGAATAATATATATCCTTTGCATCATTTGTTACTTATGATTTCCAAAAATTATAAGCATTTCTTTCTCCTTAAAATGGTAATTACTTTGTTGTTGTACTTGAAGCATTTATAGATTACCATTTACTTTTTGAATAAAAATCTGGATTTTCTGCTAGTTTTTTGCCAACTTATAATCTTAATTATTCTGATCTTATATTTTATCCAGGTGCATGTTCATGTTTTAAAGGTTCTTATTTATCTAATTTTATTGGTGCTGCTGGTAATTATCCTTCACAATCAATAACATTCTGATTTATTTGATTTTTTTAATTATTTACTTCCACAACTACTGCTGGTTATTCATTATTATTATTATTATTATTATTATCATTATTTTATTCTTGCTGATTCTAATCTTCAACAATCTCTTTATCATTTTCTTATTCAATATCCATTTATTTTAATTATCAT